TGCTTTCACTGCAGAAAAAAAGTTACTAGAGAACCTGGCTTTGTGTTCAGTGAGAGGGAGGACTAGAAACCTTGACAAGGTGAAATCTAAAGCTTTAAAATTCAGGGATTATTTATAAATCAATTTTAAAAATCGAAGAAACTTTTGTCCAACCTCCAAGAGAGGCACTGGGTTTAGGAATCTAGGTTTTGCTAGTGATTCACTCTTGTCTTTACTGGGACTGCAGTCTAGAGGTTACTGCAAGCTTTTATGTTCTGAAAGGTTCCTGGCCTGCAGGGAACAGACAGTGTTTTACCACAGAGACTATTTGTGGCCAAATCACAATATATGAAGGACAAAACATCCAAATGTTTAGGTTTGAAGCGCCGTGGGAAAGATGATACAAAGCAATCCTTTCTATTTACAAGTAAACTGAGTCTAGCCCAGATTTTAAAGTTGTATGGCTCTTATCGYGATGTAAATATAAAAACTTAAGAGGGATATTCAAAGTTGCCAAAACCCAAAGTGATACTTGCTGAGGATATTTTTATTTACTGAGGAGGTTTAAAAAGCTCACCTAATGAAACAAAACAAAAAACTCTGCACCAAAGCATTAGCATGACCCTTTCAGTGATGTTCTGTTTGCTAGCTTAATATGGGTTAAAAGGTAAATTGGATATTTCAGAACAACAAATTAAGAGGCTTCAATTGGCTTTGACAATATGGTATCTGAGCAAATTCATTTTTCGGGGAATAATAAAGCAGGAAGCTAGATGGCAGCTTTCTAGGTCAGGATTGCTAGACCTCCATTATTTTAAACAGCTTGAAGCACTGCAATATTCAGACAGTGTGTGAATGCTGTTCTAGAAAATTTTACAAAAAGGGTTGTAAATAGCGTGCTTTAGAAACAACAAAAAAATTATGTAACGTGTAAGATGCAGGAATTTCAGGATTTTATTTTCTTGAAGGTAATTTGGAATGAAAGAGACAAAAATCTCTCTAAATCAATAGRTGGGAGTTTTGGTGCATTTTTTTTAAGGAAATGTAAGTGAATTAAGGAAATGTAAGGAAATTATTCCATTTTCAATGGAATAATCATTCTGTTAGATTCTTTTTTAGTTAGCAATTGATGAATGGGTCTCTTACCTCTTCATAAAGTAGAAAATGACCTTGCATGGAATGCCAAACTCAACAGAAACAGACTACGATAATGAAAGACAAGCCTTTTTTATATATAAAGTTGCTACATAGAAAACAGTGACAAACTCAAAACTTCATCAGGAAACAATCAGCAGGTTTGCCTTTTGCCTGATAGTGCCTTTTTTTCCCCTTAATTGCTTTCTGAAAGGTTTATTAAGGAATTTCTGGTGAAGATTTTTGGTAACTGAGGCATAAACCACTAAATGAGAGTTACAAAGCATGTGCAGATCATCAATAAATTCATATATTGCTATTACAGATTAATCTTAGACATTAATAAGTCTGTTTTGCACTCTGAGTGCCATCTGGAAAAAAAAAAGGGAAACAAGAAAAACTTCCCACAGAGCATATGGATCACATTTTAGCCAGCAGAAAGAAGATTGTTGGCTTGGCACTGAGTATCTGTGACCCACAGGGTACCTTTACAGCCAGCCAAGTCATCAGTTTCCTTTACTGCTAGGCAGTGGCAGCTCCCTCTTGTGAAGAATCCCTTCTTTGCGCTTAAAACCAGAGCATTTTAACTCTCGCAGTGATGAATGGGTACTGCAAGTGCCCATAACTTTGAAAATTCAGTGCTCATGTTTGAACCTTGTTCCTGACAGAATGGATAACTTGACTGAAATTACATGGAATACTGAGGCAGCTGGGAGTACATTATGGACCCCTACTCTAGTGATGTCCTTGATTTAAGTAAGTCCAAAAGCAATATACTGAGACTGGTGACTTCCTTTGATGGAAGGSAGAAGACATGTGATGATGATAACAGTCCTGGTACTCAAGAGTACCTGGCACCATGGAAGAACCTCAGTAGATATTGCCACAAGCTTTTTAAAATTTAAAACTACTGCCCTGCGTGCAAATTCCTACAGCCCTTTCTGTTACCACAGTTCAGTTTTACAGAGATGTGCATGCTGTATATGTTTTTTATATCTAAATAAACTCCTATGAATGATGTTGTTTGGCTTTAAAGAAAAATATAAAATAAAGCTGGGATCGTAGGGCAGCACAAAATGGAGAATATTTTAGAGCTGGGTTGTAAAGTAAATTAGTGTGYAGTATGTGAAGTAGCTCATACAAAAAATTGCTGAGAGGGATATAAAGTTATATGTGTCCCTACCAGTGTCAGAGGTTTTAAAAATGTGTCCTGCTTCCATATTAAAGTGGAAGTTTATTTTTAAAGAGCGATGTTAATATCAGTTTTTCAAAACTCTTTTTAAAGTATCTGAATTTAAAAAGAGATTTTCTCCATAATAACTGAGGGAACAACAGGGAACAACATATCCAGACTGTATCTGTGCTTTTTTCCCCGATAGCCTATCTTGTCACTGAGCCTGTGCTCTCTGCAGGGACACCTGCACTCCTGTACTTGAGCATTCAGAGAGCTTTCCTGATTAGAGAGCCGCTGGAGACTTTACAAGCAGAGAATAGCAGCTGAAGCAGTACCTTCAAACTAGGTAAGGGGCTGCTTGTGATCTCCTTGCCTCCCTGGGCTGCCTAGTCRGTGTCAATGGATAATTTATCTGTTAAATGTTATGGGAGCTGGGGGATTATRGGGTGCATCTGTTGAGAGAGCTAATTGTGCTTTTGGCATTGTAAGCTTTCCCACCCACATCAGCTTTGTTAGCATGTCCCTCAGACCAGCTGGAAGGTCTAGATTATATCTGGGTGAGGATTAGCAGCAGGGGGAAAAAGAATCTGGAGAAATGGGTAACAAAAATGTCAGCAAATTCCAGAAAGGAACAAAACAAAAACTAACAAAATCCCTTAAAGACCTTCAAAAGTGAGGTTTTGACACTGTGATCTTAGGATCTAACTAAACTGCACAACGTGTAGTCACAGACATTTTAAAGACAGCTGTCTTTAAAATCTCAGTTTTAAAGTTCCATTATTTTCTACCTGTATTGTTCATTGGCTTGTTTCCTTTTTCAGCCCTCATGTTATTCTATACAGAGCAGTACTCATTCACAGGTCATGGTGGCCAGGTTTAAGCAGGTCTAGAAACATTGCTGCTTTGAAAAGACACTTTAGTGGGGAATTACAGAGAAATATGCCCTGACTTTGGGGTGATGGGAGGAGRCATCACTCAGGAAGGGGAGCGACTTTTATTTCCTGGAGCAGTCTGAGTTCTGGTGAGATTCAAGAAATTAAAAACATCCTCCTCCGATGGGAATCATTAGAGCCACTATGGAGAACCTGAATCACTGGCAATTACCCTTATGATTGTATGAACCTCATTAGGCTGATTAAACTAGCTTAGGACTGCATTATTTTAGTGGCACCAGGCAAAGCAGCTGCATTTTGCAGGAGACTGTGTCCTAAAGCTCTGAGCTGACATGAGTATTTGAAGACTTGCTAAAAACATTACAAATCCAAACTGTGACTACTATAGAAAATAGAAACTCCACCTCACTGAATGTGGGGGTGAAGCAAAATTGAACTTGTCCAGCCAACCTGCTCCAAAATTCCCAGAGCTGCAGCTTAAGCTACAGGGTGCACTGCAAACTCCCTTGATAATGCAGACATACACCTGACCCCCTTCTAGGCAGGGGCTAAGGCTTAGGTCGGTAACCAGGGCTTTGAAGGCAAGCAAGAGTCAATGGCTGTGGGAACAGAATTGAGGATCTTTTGGCTGCTGACAAAATTCATCTTCTTCTCTAGCAGTGTCTGAATGGGCTGAATCGCTGCCTGATTGGGAGCCGGCAGCCTGATTCAGCAGATGTGCTGAGTGTTCCCGATACCTGCGCATCCTTCAAAGTGGTTTGGGGCTTTTTTCTTTTCCCTTTTTTTTTTCTTTTTTTTTTTTTCAACTCAATTGAAAAATCCCTAAGATGTGTCTTTTTCATGTTGGCATTGTAAGAGGGAAATTCTGGTTCAGTGGGAAGGGTCTTTGCAGAAACAGAGAAGTGTCAGCGGCAGAGAAGTGGTTTTGTTAGCACTTCTTTGAAGAAGAAAAATAAAGGGTCTAACCCTGCTTCCAGCGAAGGTGAGGAACTAATTGCCCGAAGCAGGGAGAAAATAAATACGGCTTCCTTGATGTAGACATGAACTCGCTTTCCCTCAGAGCCAACTGGAAATTTCTCCTGCACTCTGAGGGGTTTTGGAGCTKGGCCCTTGGCTGCCGTAGGGGACCATCCTGCCACCAGGGAACATGTTTCCGCAGGGCTGCCTGGTTTATTTTATTAGGCTCTTGTCTGTTTCACCAGTGCCATTAGAAAGGCGCCGTTTAAGGGTATAAGAAACGAGGGCAGCGCCGTTGCCCCGGCGTGCTCCGAGGGGGAGGCTCCATSCCCCGCGCGACCCGTGGGCGCCTGTGGGCCCCCAGCCCAGGGGCTCCCCATCCCCGAGCACCTCGGCCCGGGGATGGGGGAGACCCGGGCGGGTATCGCAAAGCGCAGGGCCGCCCCCCGCCCTCCCCCGCTCCCGCCTTGCGCGCGCGGCAGCCCGGCCGCTAACGGGCGCCAACGGCCGCTAACGGGCGCCAACGGCCGCGGCGCTGACGGGAGCCCCGGGGGCGGCGCTGTCGCTAGGGCGGCAGCGCGGCGGGAGCCGCCGTTGCCGTTGCCGTT